TGCCTTTTGAAAGTTTTCTTGTCACTGGAGCCCCATCTGTCCTGTTTTAATCTGTGTCTTTGTCAACTTAAGTGCAAGCTCTGTACAGTTGGGGGCCACACGTTTCTGTGGCCTGGTGTCCCCCTTGGGGACTCAGAGCACGTTTGTGGAAGGAATGAACAAGTGAGTGGTGCGGTTTGGCTTAAACGGGCATACGGAGAAAACCGCTATCCCCGGGCCAGCAAGCTAGGAAATGCTATGTGACCTTGGGTGAGTTACTTAACCTCTCTGTGTCTTTGCATTCTCATCTGTGAAACAGGGATGAGACCAGGGTTGTTGGGAGGATTCAAGTAACTAACAGGTACGAAGTGAGGAGAAGGCGGGGGGGCTCATGAAATGTTTGTTGTGCTCAGGAAGCGTTCATTGTTTTTATTGGGATAGTTTTCTGCACAGCCCTCGTCTGGGGCCTCGGCACAGGCTAGAGTTTCCGGGTGGCTAGTCCAGCACACAGGGTTCCAGAAGCAGGGGTCCTCGGGGGCCGGAACCGACGGCTCTGGCTAACCATAGGTCTGGTCGGGTTTTCCGCAGAGTTGTGCTGTGGTTTGGGGGGATGTTCCCGGCCCAGCACTGGGCACCAAGCCCGTCGCCGGCCTGGCCATGACGTGTGTGACGGCAGAGGTGGCCCTTTGCCCTGAGCTCCGGGATCGCTGGAGGTGACCTGGTTCTTCCAGGTCATCATCTGCCGCCAGCGTGGAGGGTTCCGGGTGTGTTTTGTGAGACGAGGTCCCCCGAAGGCCCCGGTGTGGTCCGAGAACGGGCGGCAGCAGCCTCCCTGGGAGCCGGCTGGAGGTGCATGTCCCAGGCCCCGCCCCAGACCCTCCGACCGGAATCTGCATTCGACCAGGCTCCCCAGGGGCTGCGTGCACCTTCGGGTCCGGGCGGCGCTGGTCTAGAGCAGGGCGCAGAAACTGGCGACCCGCAGAACACGTCCTGCCCGCCTCCTGCTTTCATGAAGTTTTACTGGCGCACGGGCGCGTCTGTGCACGCCGTGGCTGCTTCCACCTGTGGTGGCGGAGTCGAGTGGTTGCAGCAGAGACCGTGTGGCCGCAAAGCCGACGATTTTATCATCTGGCCCTTACGGAACCAGTTTGCCGGGCCTGGTAAAGCTCTGGTTCTCGGACCCGGCAGCCCCTTGGAATGACCCGGAAGTTAAAGTGCCGACACCTGGGTCTCAGCCCGGAGATGCCGACGTCGCTGGCGCGGGGCGGGGTGCGGGCTGGGTGTCGGGACCTCGCGCGGCTCCCTGTCTGAACGTGCGGCGTCCTCGCCGGACCCGGAGAGCCAGGAACCGGCACGTGCCGGTCTGCAGCTCCGTGGCTGGGCCCAAGAGCTGGCGGCGCGGCCGGTCAGCGCAATCCTGCGTTGAGTCAGCGGTGACGGTTTGATGTCCTAAAACGCAGACACTTTAGAGGGCAGAGCTGCTGGCCGGGTCGACTCAGCGCCTCCTGGGGAGCTGTGATCTGGGGCCTCCCTCTCCCCGTGTGAGTCTCCCAGGAGCGAGTGGGAGCGGCCTCCCGTGTCACCACCTCGGGGCCGGGCACATGTCGCTCATAGGGCTGACGGGGTCTCTCCCGCGGGACAGCGTGTTTTGAGGCCAGGGCTGCCCTGGCATTTCTCCCACTCGTCCTCCCCGCTGGAGTGGCTCGGTGCCGGGAGCAGCGGCGCCTCCCCCGGGGGGACGGGGCTTGGGCCACAGGAAGCGAGGAGCCCGTCCACGGCTCCAGGGCGGCCCCGGAGGGCGTGTGCCTGGGGGGTGGGGGAAGGGGGAGGCCCCTGCCCCTGCCTTTGCTGTCAGGGAGGGGAAGGAGGGGGCAGGGCCTGGCGCCAGGATTGCAGCACCCCGATGGGAAAAGAACGGAAACCATGACCAGGTTCTAGTGCCGACAGGGACTGCTGACCTCGCGTCAGATGGCACGGGCTTGGGGACCGTGACCTGGGACACTGCTGGCCGAGGGCTGGGAGACGGGCGTGGGGGTCCCGGCAGGGCCAGACATAGCTGGGGTCGGGCGGAACTCAGACTCTCGCACGTCGACTGCCATGCTAGAAACAAGAAATGTTTTCCTTGGGGCCACGGTGTTTTATTACGAAAATAGAATAAAAACTTCGAAAACAAAACGATCCTTTCTAATTTAATGAAAAATTATTTTTTATTGTTTTCTGTGCGTGAGTTATACGCACCTTGAAAAATAGTTCACGCGGCTCCTGAGGTAGAGACGTGTGAGTTACGTGTGTTTCCTGAGGCCCCGGGGTCAAAACAGCGTGAGTTAAATACAACTCACATGGCAGTTAGTGTGCCGGCTGCGATCCTGGCCCTGCAGTGTAGCAGCATCGCTGCTCCCCTCTCTGTGCCTCAGTTTCCTCTCCTGCAGAGGAGGCCGTCAGCCAGCACCGTGATGAATGCCATGGGGTTCCACCATGCAGGGGAACGGGGTCACGGGCAGGGCCCAGGGAGTCTTGAGCTGGGGACAGGTGGGGTCAGCAGAAAGGGATGGGGTCCTGAAGCCCAGATCCCAGCCAGAGGTGAGCCTGTCAGCCAGGGCTTTGGGGACGGCAGGACCACGCCCTCGCACCCCAGGGCGTCCCCATCCTGCTCTAAGACTTTGAAGCTTTGCCTCAGCCTCAGTTTCTTCCTCTGCATAATAGGGGTGGCGACCATGGCCCTCCTGTCTCGGGTCAGTTAAGGGCACTCGGCGGATGGGCATGGTGCCCGGGGTGGGGTGGGGCGGTCCCCACAGGCTGCCGCCGCCAATGCTGCTTTCATCTTCATCATCCTCCTGGGGCTTCCTGAGGGATGCTGGGAGCCTGCCAGCATCCCATGCACAGAATGGCGCCGGCGGCCAGTGAGCGCTCCGGAGACGCGGCCTCGGGTGTCCGTGAGCGTCTCCCCTGCGCCCTCCCTTGGTGCGGCTCTTCTGAGGGTGCGGAGGAGCCACGTGGCAGGGAAGGCTCCGAGCTCAGGCCCGGTGCGGACGCGCCTCTCCAGCCGGCCACGCTGCCAGCCTCGGGTGCGGAGCTGCACCTGCTGGCCGTGTGGGTGCTGGTTACTGATCGATCCGTGGTGAGGCCCCAGGCTCAGGGGGCCCCCACTGGCCTGGATCCAGGGGCCGGTGGATAGGTGCCACGAGAGGGCGGCCCACGTGGCTGCCGCTCTCGTTGGGAGGGGTGCTGCAGCCGGGGTGGGGACCAAGCTCCGCCCTGCACAGACCCTGGCCCTGGTGTCGGATCCTGGCCGTCCCAAAGCCAGGGTGGAGACGCCATCCGTGTGGGGCAGCCCACCGGGCGGGACTCCCTCCCCAGACAGCCACACTGTCTTCTCCCTACCACCCTGGGCCCTGGTCCGCAGCACCCGCTCACCGCCACTGCCCAGTCAGGCGGATGCGGAGAGGCGACACTGTGTCGGAGCAAACTGGAACACCTCTGCCCCGGCTCCCACCTGCCGGGCCAGCTCCCAGAGGGGCGTCTCCTGTCGGGCGCGAGAGGTGCCACCGCTCTGGGCTGCGTAAAGGTCGAGCCCGTGCGTCTGAGGGTTTGCGGTTAGGAGAGGGAGCACGGGCTGGTCCAAGGACGCAGGGCCATCTGTCGGGACTCGGCAGTGACGTGGGGTGGGGGCAGCTGTTCAGGTCAGGCGGCTCTGCCCCCCGTCTGCTTACAGGACACGGGGCGCGGGGGCGGGGGCGGATTCTTGGGGCAAAGAGAGTGGATCCCGGCCAGGAGGCTCCGGAGCGGAACCAGCAGCAGCCTCTGAGAGCCGCGGCCACCTGCAGTGGGCAGACCCTCGCCTGTGACGTGGCGTCCGCGGGGTGCCCGTGGTGGCCCCCGGGCTCCGAGGAGGGCCGAGAGGGCCCCGTGCGCTGGGCGGGCGTCAGGCCCTGGCAGGAGAAAGGGGCTCTCACGCCCCGGTCCCCTCCTTTTCCGTCTGCCTGGGGTTTGTCACCCCTGGTTTGGAGAGTGCTGTGACTGTGCCCCCCGTACACGTAGCGGGGCTCTCGGGGTTTATTTTTATTTCACTTGGCTCCACGGGATGGAAAGATGGTCTGGTTTGGCAGCTGCCTGCAGGGAGGACCTTGGGCGGCCAAGAAAATCAGTCTGCGCCTGATCAGAGAAATCGGGCGGGACGGAAGGAAGTCGGGAGGCGGCGCTGGGAGCAGCTGGCCACTCCGCTTCCTCCTCTGCCTTGGCGGCCCTCGTGCCCAGAGCGACTGGGGCAGGCGCGATGACAGGCCGGAGTGAGCAGGCGGGCCTGGCCCTGAGCCCCTCGACCTGCCCGGAACATGGGCTTGTTCTGCTCCCTGTGGGGCTGCCAGCATCTGGGCAGCCACCTTCAGACAGGCCTGGGGCCGTCCTGGCGGCTCCGGGGAATTGGGGGCATCCCCCCACCTCTCCCTTTTGCAGACTTGGAGACCGAGGCTTAGTGAGGTGGCCTGAGCTTTGGCAGGGGCAGGGCTGGGCGTCAGCGCTGCGTCCCCAGATTCCTGGATGCTTCCCCGCCCATGCCTGGGGCCGACCAGAGCCCCTCACTCTGGCGCAAATCACTCCTGCGCCTCTCAAATATCGGTGCCGGGTGCCATCCTCAGTGCCACGTAAGGATTCTCTCATTGCAGCCCCCCGGCCCCTGGCTGAGGTACAAGCATGCTGAATACTCCTGTTTTAAAAGCGAAGAAATCAGAGCACAGAGAGGTTAAGACCCTCCTCCAAGGTCACACAGCCACTAAGCAGGGGAGGCAGGAATTGAACCCAGGGCATCTGACACCAGTGCTTCCTACTCTTCCCCTCAGGCCCTGTGGACCACAGGACCCCAGGCCGCGGCCTGTCCCCAGCTCCCACCAGCTGGCCCTGGCCTCCCCTTGGGCTGACTCTGTGGTTTCCCCTCCTTTCCCCCAGCGCCCTCCTGCCCAGGTGCGCAGATCCACGTGCCTCACTGTGTTCTTCTCTCCCCTCTTCCCTGCCCTCCCTGCCAACAGCAGCAGCAACAGCAGCAGCAGCAGCAGCAGCAGCAGCAGATGCCCCGGAGCAGCCAGGAGGAGAAAGATGAGAAGGAGAAGGAGGGGGAGAAGGAGGACGAGAAGCCAGAGGTGGAGAACGACAAGGAGGAACTGATCAAGTACGGCCCTGGCCGGGGCACAGCCAGGGGGCTGGGCAGGGGGCTGAGGACGGGATTGGCTGGCTGTCCCGGACAGCGCCTCCCTCTCCCCCTCCAGTCCTCTGAGACTGCGGAGGCAGATAGCTCATCCGAGCCCCACTCCCGAGCTAATAAATCCAGGCAATGACTTCGGAAGTCTCAGCCTCCCCTCCCCCTCCCCGTCTCCTGAGGCGCCAGGAGGGGGATCAGAGCAGCTTGGGGGGACTGGGCGTGCAGGCGGCGCTCACCTTTAGAACTATGGATGTCAGCGTGCGTTCTCGCAGATGAAGGCACGGCCTCGCCTCGGGCCCTGACGCCCCCGTGCCTGGGGGGCTGCGGGCACACGGCCAGCGGGAGGAGGGGCCGGCGCGCCTGAGCGCCAGGTACCTGTAACAGCTCAGGAATGTGGCTTCAGAGAACATCTGGCTCCCCTGCCCCTCTCCCAGAGGCTTCCAGCGAGGCCCTTTCAGCAAGATGAATGGCGAATGGGAGGGCGGGCGATGAATCCTGCCGCGGAGTCCACCCCTGCCGGGCCTGCCGCGGTTCCTCAAGGCACAGCGGCCACGTTTACACGGAGCCTTTCTCCTGCCACGAATAAAATGGCCTTGTAGATTGCTACCCGCCCGCGCCCCCCAGGGCCTCGGCAGAGAGTCTCGTAGACAGATGGCGGGAGCATCTGTTTGGCGTGTAAATGGCCTTGCCGACGGCCCCCACGCCTCCCGTTCGGGGAATAAAGCCCCATCCGGGTAGCCGCCTGGCCAGGTGCACGCCCCTTGTCGCAGCTGTGCCCCAGTTCCAGGGCAGGGAGGGTCCTTGCGGGCTGCCACCCGCCTGCCCCGCCCTGGCTCACCCCTCTTCCTGGCGTCCGCTCAGCACGCGAGAGCGGGCGGCCGGTGCGGGGCAGAGCAAGCTGACGGGGAGGTTGGCTCCGGTGGCTCAGCGGGTCCGCCCTGTCTCCCCTCTCTGGCCGTCAGGGAGAAGACAGACGACACCTCGGGGGAGGACAACGACGAGAAGGAGGCAGTGGCCTCCAAAGGCCGCAAAACCGCCAACAGCCAGGGCCGGCGCAAAGGCCGCATCACCCGCTCCATGGCCAACGAGGCCAACAGCGAGGAGGCCGTCACCCCTCAGCAGAGCGCCGAGCTGGGTGAGCCGGGGGCTGGGCAGCGCGGGCTTGGCTCGTGCGGACGCTGCGTGGGGTTTGGGTTAACCGGCAGCGGCTGAGGGGTTGGGTCCCAGCCTTAGCTACGGAGTGCGCTGTGTGGCCCCAGGGTGAGTTGCTCGACCTCTCTGTGCCTCTGTGTCCTCATCTGCACGGTGGGGAAAGTGGGTGGCCACCTCTAACCGTGGGAGGAAGGTCTTTAGTAACTTCCACGTGGGCAGAGCCTAGAACAGCGCCTGGGGTGTGGGAAGAACTCAGTGGCTTCGGCCACTGTGATTTCAGAGCTGGGGCGTGTCCCGCAGGAGTCCAGGTCGCCCATTCTGGGCGTCTTGTCCTGACTTTTACATCATCAGACCTGGTCACACTCGGCACGCGTTTCCCCGAGACAGCCCCTGTTGCGAGCTGAGCAGCCTCCACCCTTGCTTAGAAAGGTGTAGGTTCTGACGGTGCCCGCTCCGGCCCTGTGGGCATCTGAGCTCATATCTTCACTGCTGTGGGCCTCAGTTTCCCCTTCGGCTCGGAGCGGCGTTCACGCCCTGGTGCTCTGTGCCATGCTCCCCTCCCAAAAAGGGGGAAAAAGCGAGGAATTGAGCAGCAGTTCCCAAGTTCGGCCACAGGGGGCAGCCGTGCGTGTCTGTTGTCTCTGCACCTATTTTGGCAGTCTGGGGCTGTCCCTGCCGCCCCTGCGGGACCCACCCAGGGCCGGTTCTTAGGGCTCCTTCCCGGGGTGGAGCTGGTGGAGATGATGCTTCATCTCTCACAGACACCCCCTTCCCCCTGGGGTCTGGGCCAGGCACCTGCTCCCTCTTCCCAAGAGAAGTAGTTTGGACCCATTTCATAAATGGGCTACTTGAGGCTTAGAGAAGGGACACTGTGTCCCTAAGTCACAGAGTTTGTCAGGATTTGAACCCAGCCCTACTGGCCACAAACCCCGTGCAGCTTCCGTAGGTGTTTGCCGGCTGCCCTTTGGTGGTGGCGTGCTGGGAGGCCCCGGGCGGAAGGGCTTTCTGTAGAAGCGTGCTGGTTCCTGGTCCATGGGCATAGTCCTCTCGGACCCCAGGCTGAGGCAGGGGGCCGGGCTGCAGGGCGGAAAACACAGCCCTGGGGCCTCCCCAGCTTTCACCGCCTGCCTCTGGGGGTCCCGTGGGAAGGAAGGGGAGTCGGTGAGATCCTGGAGCAGCCCAGGCTGTGTGGCAGGGACCAGGGCTGCCCGTGGGGGTGGGGGCCGTCTCCCCGCTCCCTCCTGTGGGACGCCCCCCTCCCCAGCCAGCCTCTGTCAAGCACTCACTCTGTGCCTGGCGCTGTTCCAGGCGCTGAGTCCATGAAGCTGACGTCCCCCTGTCCGCCCCCGACATGGCGCGTAAGCGACTTGAAAGAAAGGGCCAGGCTCACACCCAGGGGGGCTCGGAGCAGAAGCTTACAACTAGTGCCGTGGGAGCGACGTGGCCACCTGCACCCGACCCGGGGCAGGGCTGCGTCCCTTCTGAATGACACAACGAGCCCCTCCTCCTACCGGGTTGGGGGGAGTGGAATTGTGACCCTCCAGAGCAGAGGTCTCTACCAGGGACGGTTTTACCCCTGGGGAATGTTGGGACAGCCGCAGTGCCCAGGGCGGCCCCCACAGCACAGAGCAGTCCGGCTCCATGGGAGCTGCTGCCCCTGCTGCCCCACACCGTCACCATGTCCCCGGGGGGATGCGCCTTCTCAGCCAGGTGCTCACAGCAGCAGCTGTCACGGTTGAGACCCCCGACCGCCTCAGTTTCCCCATCTGTGAAATGGGCTGACTGCATGTCGTCCCCCCCCCCCGTCTCCATGGGTCACATGGAGGTTGGCCCCAAGTGACGCATGGGGATCGGCTCAGCACGGTGCCTGGCCCGGCCCGGCGGGGGCTCGAGAGTGGGGCACCGAGGAGGGGATTGGCTGGGAGGGGGCGTCTGAAACGTGGCCTCCCCTCGGGGTTCAGAGCTGTGAGCTCATGCCATCGAGGCCCCGTCCCCTCCCTCCCCGGCTCCGAGGGGGAGAGGAGCCCGTCTGTGCAGAGGGCCGGGTGCCTCCCCTCTGGGCCACCGCCAGCAATGCGTGCCTTCCTTTTCAGCCTCGATGGAGATGAACGAGAGCTCCCGCTGGACCGAAGAAGAAATGGAAACAGCCAAGAAAGGTGAGGGCGCCGGGCAGCGTCAGCGCCCCCGTCTGCATCCTGGGCGCAGCGCGTGCGGCCGGGAGGACGTTGACCCAGGGCCTGGGGTGAGGTCAAGGGGGTGGGCTCTGTTCTTGTTGGTCACGTCTCCTCAGAGCCTCAGTGTTACCTTCTAGAAAATGAGTCTGTGCGGCTGCAGTGTCCTGCTTGTCTGTGTGACGCTGGGTGTGGCTCAGGACCACCCAGCTCGTGCTGTGCACGTGGTCAGTCAGCGCTTCCAGGTGACCCCTGTGGACGGAGTGGCGGCAGCCTACCTGGATGCCCCGGGGCAGGCAGCGCTTGCTGGTATCCTTGCTGCGGTCCTCACACGGGTGTCCGGCCCTTATGCAGAGCCTTGGAGGCCCCCATCCTAGGCGCAAGCGTGCTGTCGCCGGGCACGCCTGGGTTGTCCGGGTCAGTCATGGGAGTGCCCCACGTGGCAAGTCCCGAGACCGAACCGTGGCGATGCCGGGATCCGGCGTGCGTGGGTGCTGCTGCAGACGCC